TCGGTGGTGATGAGAGGTGGAGTCCGGGAAGAGCTCTCTGGTGGTCTCAGTCGGTGTGAATGAGAGGTGGAGTCCCGGAAAGAGCTCTCTGGTGGTCTCAGTCGGTGTGAATGAGAGGCGGGAGTCCGGGAAGAGCTCTCTGGTGGTCTCAGTTGGTGTGAAGGAGGGCGGAGTCCGGGAAGGGCTCCGCTGGCTTAGTCAGTGTGAATGAGAGGTGGCGTCCGAGAAAGGGCTCTCTGCTGGTCTCAGTGAGTGTGAATAAGAGGTGGAGTCCGGGAAGAGCTCTCTGGTGGTCTCAGTCGGGTGTGAATGAGAGGGTGGCGTCCGGGAAGGGCTCTCTGGTGGTCTCAGTCCGGTGTGAATGAGAGGTGGAGTCCCGGGAAGGGCTCTCTGCTGGTCTCAGTCGGTGTGAATGAGAGGTGGGAGTCCGGGAAGGGCTCTCTGCTGGTCTCAGTGAGTGCGAATGAGGGGTCGGCGTCCGGGGGCTATCCCCCTACTGACCATGCAGTAGGGAGGCAGATGAAGAATGCGGTTGAGGATGAATGGCCCAGGCGAACTTGGTTGCTGCGGGCTTAAGCGTGGTAAATGTTGATGCTGGCTCTCTTGCCACATTGGAGGGTAATTTATAAGTTTTCCGAATTCCGGGGCGGGGCGGGATCATTTTTTGTGTCGTTTTTTCAAGTGAGCACCACAACAGGATCTAATCAGCTGTGGTGGCCTCGGTCTGGCCGTTTACAGGCGACCTTGTGTACTGCTGTGGAACCTCTAACCAGTACTACAGTCATTTTTACGCAGTGGTTGAGAGCCATCTCAAGGCTCTCCGTAAACCTGTGGAGCAAACAAGTGAAGGCACTTCGTGAAGATCGCACCGCTGGAATGACGTCAACTTCTGGTCGGTGAAGGACACAGTGAAAAAGTCGCACAGAATGGTCCACAAGCACGTGAAGGAGTTCCAGGTGGGTTGGGGGTGTCCTGTGCGCGGGTGCTGTGTCGGGCTGCGGTGGGAGATGTTGACAGACCGGTTATGCGGAAGTCACACTGTGGTACGCCGCCAGTTGAGCGAAAAGTGCGTATGAACTGGGAAGGCGCTTAGTGCTGTTCACGGATAGCCAGCTGATAGCAGTTGGTACAGGGCCTGCAGCCGTGCGAAAGTCCATCTCGGCTCGCAGTTTGTGTGCGTTTCCTCCCTGTGAATAATTTTCTTCCAACTGAAAAAGTGGAACGCTTCACGATTGTGCGTGTCATCCTTGCGCCAGGGGCCATGCTAATCTTCTCTGTATCGTTCCAATTTTAGTATGTGTACAGCCGGAGCTGGTACGTCACAAAAGGGAGCAATCTGGTTATTGAACGTCGACCTTTGGTTCCACATTCAGCCTAGGTTCATCATGTGCGGTAGTGGTATGTGTGTTCTAACCACCTACTCAGACACATTTTCTCACTATTAACTTATACTTGAATTAAATGCTTTTTCGGCCAGGAAAAGATTCAATGGATTAGATTTTCCCTTTTGTTAGCGTGGGGAGCATTTTTGTCATCGCTCGATGGAGCAGGTTCCACTCAGCTGCTGCCACCTGGCGTCTGGTGACGACCACTACTGCCGCGCCACCTGGCGGCCGGCGCGACAACTTGGCCTGATGGCGGGCGGGACCCGGCCGGCAGGCGGTGCTGGCGCAGCCCGGTGGCGCCGGCGCTCGTCGACCCTGACGCGTTCGATGACGAGGCGAACCGGCAGCTGGGGCTCTGGGATCGGGAGCAAGTGGCGCCGCCGCTGACGCCCGTCAACTCCAACCTGTACATCGCCCGCGGCAAGGGTGGCGGTGAGTGGAGCCCCGGGCGTGTGGCTCGCGAGGGAATGCCGCTTTCCGCGCCGCACCTTGCGTACGATTGTAATTATTATTGGTTATCCGCCCTCTGTCCTCATGTGCCATTCCGTTCTGAATCCGTCCGCTGTCGTCGGGTCAGACTGGCGGCGCTTGACCGAGAGAGGGCTGACGTGCCAGCCCCATGGTGAGCGCCCCGGCTCGAGCGCCCACACAAATATTAAGTGAGATACGCTGAGCGGGTTAAGTTTCCGGCAGCTCAGTCTCCTCCGACGTTTGCCAATCAGACTCCTACGACGTTTTGCGTTCATCTAATCACGCCCCGAAATGGCCACTGTTGGCTGCGAGGGACTCTGATCCAAAACTGGCACGTGCCTGGATCCCCCAATTGCCGGGGATATCATAGACCAGGGAACCATAGCTTTGATTCAGACACACGTCTGAACCCAAATCAAAGCAAGTTCTAAATGGCTGGGATGGTGGGCGTTCTGTCCCTCCCTTTCGCGGGTTCGGTGATAACCCGCCTCTCAGTACCCCGCATGTTGAATGTGCCTGCAGTTGGAGCAGTGGTGTTGTGGGACAGGGGGTCGTCTGCACAGCGTGTGGTTGTGGCTTCATCGTGGGAAAACACTGCAGCCGTTTGACTTATTACTTCAAGAGGAACGGAACTCTTGCCGTATGGTGCCGTATGGAACGTTTAACGTATATAGTGCCGTATATATTTGCCATATATAGTGGCAAGCGGATTGATTGGATTGCCATGGTCACCACAGCAATCCACTCAAATCGCGTGTCTGGCGGGCGTGGCCGCACCTTGACGCGGTCGGCCGTGCCGTGCCGTGTCGCGCCTGGCCTCGCCGCGCCGCGCCGTACCGTGCCGGGCCGCGCCGTGCCTTGCCGCACCGTGCCGCGCCGTGTCGTGCTGACCCGTGCTCGCGCGCCACGCGGCCAGGTGTCCGACTGCCCGTACCCGGAGCACGAGCAGCTGGCTCGGCTGCGCCTGCTGTACATGCGCAGCCGCCGTCTTTGCCGCGGCGTCTACAGCCGCTCTCGGCTGATGGATGACGTCACCACGCTCAGTGACATCACCGGCACCATCTGCGAGACGGCTAGTGAGCTCAGCAAACTCAACTGAGTCGTGGTGGTAGTTTGTCGGCGTTTGGTCATGTGTGAGTAGTGGAGAGTTTGTGTGTGTGCACATCGTAAGCGTGTTCTCACCTAGGCGGAAACTTAGGTCGGGGAAGGCTTCAAGCGATAGGTATCGAATTCCAGAGGTCTTGCCCCGGAAGACTCGGCAGCGAAGATGGGCTCAACGTGTGAGACGCTAGAAAGGTTTCGGGTTTGTAAGTGTTCCTCGCATAATTGTGGCCTTCTTTACTAGGCGTGATGGTCGGGTGCTCCAACTACGTGAATTGCTTTGCCTGGCCGATGACTTGGAAAAAGTATTTTCTATCCGATTTCGCCAACATCGGACCCGTTGCGTTCACTATGGACTTGGCACTGGGTATAGGGTCGTAACTTCCAGTGCGGTCGGTGGAGTGGCAAGCCCAGACAGTCGCCTGTGGTGTGCGTTGCCTCGGCACACCTCTGACGTGCCGGAACCGCCTGGCGTCCACCACGGGCGGTTGGGGTGCGCGGCGAGCGTCACCAGCCCGCCTCCGGCGCCCCGCAGGTGGACGGCGTCGAGGACAAGGACAAGCGCCGCAAGCTGGTCGGCCACATGAAGCAGCGCAAGCGGAAGGCGGGCCGTCGAGTTGTAACCGCACGCTGGCCGACATGGGCCTCTCGTATCGGCGCGGTCTCGTCTCCTGGGAGAAGGAGTCCACCTACTGCAGGTGCGACGAGCGCCGCTGACGCTGCCCGTCACCGGCCGCTGACGACCGGGTGGCTGCGTATGGAACCGGCTGGAATATGCAGGCCTGAATCACAAACCATGCGTAACGCTGCTGACCATGGCGTTTGAAACCATTCGACGAAAATAGATGAACCTTTGGTATGGGTACGGCTGGTGTGTGTTACGGGGCTTGGAGTGTGGGGTTCCGCCAGACAGCCGACAGTGCGCCGTCAACCATCAACAGTCTCCGTGCGTGATCCTGGTGTCGTGGAATTCGTGATTCGGCCCGGGGGTGTGGTTTGGGCTCTACGGCAGTCAAGACCAATTCGGGGCTGTGGAGTTAGATAGAGAGGTAGGAAGCGGGGTAATGGTGGATTTACTGTGCATTTACCTTACACCGCATGTAATACTCGGATTGTCCCACTCCCCGTGGCTTATCCGTTCCGAGGTCTCACCACATATGTATACTCATCACAGTGCGGTTCATTCCTGTCTCATCTAACTCTGCCTCTTTCCGGGCAGCCTGCTGCAGGCGGCCGCCAGGTGGACGTACGGACGTCTGGCGACGGCCGTCAGTCAGCGCTGCCTGGCGGGGATGCCCTGAAGTACGAGTGCCGAGACGTTACCCCGTGTCACGGATGGCGCTGCTGCGGCGCGCCCTGTTCGAGCCGCACCGCGAGCTCGGACCGCAGAACCTCGAGCGCATGCGCGGATACAGCGCCGACCTGATGGTGAGCGCTGCCTGCGCTTGTTAGCGGAGGTTGGCGTGTGCGGCAGAAAGGCATGTTTTCCGGATGCGATAAGTTTTGTTTTTCTTGGCATTTACAGTCTTCGCCTATAATTCGTGCTGTGACGCCCGCCAGCGCAGATGTCGCTGGTAGCTGCCCGCGCGTTGACTTGGTTTCCGTTCCACAAAGCCCACCGCGGCAGTTGGTCGACGCGCACCGCCGCTGTGTTCAGCGAGGACGTAAAGCCTGATCTGTCGTGTCGATATTGCGTCGAGCCCGGCGGCGGCCGCGCGTCGGCCGATCCTGACGCCGAGCCCGACCTGGCCCGCTGCAGATGCTGGTGGGATCGACTCGGGTCAGCCTGGCTGCCACGGAGCAGCACGTGAGCCGGCTTTCATCGCTGCTGGAGGAGGTGACCGGCCTCACGTGCCAGCCGCACCCCAGCCGACACGCGACCGAGCAGCGCCGCTACCGCGCCACAGAGGTACGGGCTCGCGCCGGTCAGCGGGGCTCCGGCCGCGGCGTGAGCGGTCCGGCGGCTGTGCTGATGGCGACCACCGCTCAGGCGGAACTGCAGGGACTGGGGCGGGCGCCAGCCGCCCGCTTGCTGCATTGTCTATGTCAGATGTCCTGGTCATGTGAGTGTTTGTTTGAGGCCGCGCTGGTTCTGGCTGCGTGTTCATCAGGCTGGAATTTCGGCATGCTTTGTACGGCTCGTGAGCGGCTGTTGCCGCGTGCGGCGTGTTCTCTGTCACTGGTCGCGCCGCCCATGACTCTGACTCTGACTCCGGCGTCGTCCGCCCCCGGTCCCCGTCAGCCGTGACGCAGCACGGCTGTGTCGGCAGGCGCACCTGTTGGCCGTCAGTGGCCGGTACCTGGCGCTGCTGGCCCGGCTGCGGCTGTACCTGCACGCGGCGCCGGACGGCCAGCCGGCGGCGGCCGCCGACGCGCTGCGCCTCAGTGGAGCCCCCTGCTCCGAGCTGCGCGAACGGGGCCGCGCCGCCGCCGAGCACGCGCCGCTGCTCATCCAGGTGGACGCGGCGCTGGCGCGGACGCGCGCCGCCCGTCGCCGCTGCGCCGCGCCGGTGCCCGCCGCTGGTGCGCGCCGCTGTTGTGGACGCGCGACGATGTCAGTCGCCTGGAGGAGGCCCACGGCGAGCTGGCGCAGACACGCGACACGCTGGCGCTGGTGCGTGCCGCGCTGGGCCGCGTCGACGGCACCGACCCGGTGTCGGCAGCGCTGCTAGAGGCGGAGGCGGCGCTGGGCCCGGCCGGCGGTGTGGAGGGCTCGGCCGCTGGCGCCGCGCCGCCGCCGGCCGACGCCGAGGCTCGGTTCGTGTCGGCCGCCGGCCGGCTAACCAGTCGCCTGCTGCTGGCCGTGCAGCGGCTGTACCGTGCGCAAGAGGAGCTGGACGCCGCGCTGCTACCGGGCGATCCGCAGCAGGGTCTGCTGGGTGTCCGGATTGATGAGAGTTTGCAGCGCGCCGTCGCCGGTCTGGACGCGAGGCGCGTGGTCAGCAGTCTGGCGGCCGTTTGCCGGCCGCTGGTCGGCGCCGACATCAGCGACGAGCAGGCCGCCCGCATGATCACGTGAGCACCGACTCGGGACACCTGTTCTCGACTCTGGCCTGCTGATTCTGTTTCGTTGAGTGCAGTCAGTGCGGGGTTCATGGTGAAAACAAACTGCTGCTCCTTGCTGTTTGAAGTATATTGCAGTGTCGTGCGTCGGCCTGCCGACCGCTGACGCTGCGGCCGGCGCTGTTGTAGGCTGCTGTCCCAGCTGGTGCCGCTGCTGAACCAGTACCACCACCTGTGCACGTTCGTGCTGGTTCACCAGATGGCCGCGTACCGGTCGGCGACCAAGCTGCTCACTGTGCTGCTCAAGCTGTTCACGATCATGGCGCAGAAGGTGAGTGGCGCGGGGGGTTGGGCGGCGTATGAGGCTCAGCAGTCCGGGCTGAAGGTCCCGGCGACTGAGGCGAGACACTCGGAGTGATCGCCCATCAGCCGGCGCCTGTGAGGCCGGGGCCCGCGTCCTGGCGTGGCCGGAGCCGTCCTGTCGAGCCGCAGCGAACGGCGCGGCCGGTTGGGGGGGGGGGGGGGCCGAGACCGTGGTGTGTGATGACGCTCTGGGCTCGGAGATGACACGCCGCCGCTGCCGCCAGGGCTTCTGCACGCCCGAAGACATGCAGGACGAGCCGGATGACTCGGAGGCGGGCACCGAGTTCAAGGACATCCAGGACGGCGGCCTGGGCGAAGGCGAGGGCTCCAAGGACGTCTCGGACAAGCTGGAGTCGGAGGACCAGCTGGAGGGCGCCTACAAGCCAGGCGAGCAGCCTGAGGACGCCAATGAGGACGTCAAGGTTAGTCCGCGGCGGTGGCCGTGGCCTACCGTTTCTGGCGCGTGATCAAGGGAACTTCGAGGGGGGCGACGTCATCGTGCCGCAGTATCAGAAATTTTTGAACTCTCAACAGTAACCTGACGATTTTGGGTTGCGTAGGCGTGTGGCGTACATGATTCGAACATTGTGCATTTTCGTTGCCACAATGACTGAGTTGTTTCGTCTTTTTACGCGGCCAGTGCCTATTGCGTTGTCTGGAGGCGGAAATGCCGTGGACGGCTCTGACCGTTCCGTTCGTGCAGGAGGAGGAGCAAGGTGTGGAGATGTCCGAGGACTTTGGCGGTAAGATGCAGGACGTCGAGAAGAAGGAGGGCGACGACGACAGTGACGAGAGTGACCATGAGGGGGACGAGGAGCCGGACAAGCAGATGGGCGAGGTCGACGGGGAGGACCAGGAGAGACTCGACGAGAAGGTGAGAGCGGGTCTGGCCTAGCCAGTTCAGGTACCAGTAGAGACTCGACGAGAAGGTGAGAGCAGGGTTTGGCCTAGCCAGTTCAGGTACCAGTAGAGACTCGACGAGAAGGTGAGAGCAGGGTTTGGCCTAGCCAGGTCAGGTACCAGGAGAGACTCGATGAGAAGGTGAGAGCAGGGTTTGGCCTAGCCAGGTCAGGTACCAGGAGAGACTCGGTGAGAAGGTGAGAGCAGGGTTTGGCCTAGCCAGTTCAGGTACCAGTAGAGACTCGACGAGAAGGTGAGAGCGGGGTCTGGCCTAGCCAGGTCAGGTACCAGTAGAGACTCGACGAGAAGGTGAGAGCAGGGTTTGGCCTAGCCAGGTCAGGTACCAGGAGGGACTCGACGAGAAGGTGAGAGCAGGGTTTGGCCTAGCCAGGTCAGGTACCAGGAGAGACTCGGTGAGAAGGTGAGAGCGGGGTCTGGCCTAACCAGGTCAGGTACCAGGAGAGACTCGGTGAGAAGGTGAGAGCAGGGTTTGGCCTAGCCAGGTCAGGTACCAGGAGGACTCGACGAGAAGGTGAGAGCAGGGTTTGGCCTAGCCAGGTCAGGTACCAGGAGAGACTCGGTGAGAAGGTGA